AGCAAACCACTTCTGAAGATGCAAGCCACTCGTGCTTGCGAAACGTCAAGAAGAAATTCTACCGAACGACGGCCTAAAAACCCATTAGTTTCAATATTGTTTCCAATTCCAAAGTTTCACAAAACCTTCGAGACTCTTTCCTTCGTTCAGCTGCATTGAAACTGTACACACAAAATCTCGCAGACAAATTTGCGGACTTAGTCCCAACCAGACTCTCCTAACTGAATAAGTTCAATTTAGGATCACCGTTAAGAAGCCTGCTAATATCTTTCTCTATCAAAAAGAACTTTCCCAAGCTGGGACGTGGCGAAGAGTCGAATCCGGCCCTTAGAGTGCTGTATGGAATGAGGGTTTTTTGCATTTGCATGATCATTACCGATCATCGATTTGGCACGTTTTTGAGCAGCGGTATTTTGAATTTTAACACCGTGGAAGAGGTGAGGATTTGCAGCAAAAAAGCTTTGCTTGTTAATGAGGGTGTCTTTGCAGCAATATAGGTCATTTTTTGGAACGCTGTTTTTCCATGGGGATCTATTTGTTGATTCCTTCTTTATCCTGAGCGGGCTGTTAGTAACCTACTGCCTGCTAGTCCAATGGGAGAAGAAGTTCCTAAACCCCGCCTACGTAATTATTTTGAGATACATGCGGTAAGTGCCTCAAAAACCAACTTTCAGAGTTTAGCAACATAAGTTTCAGATTGACTCCGCTCTACGCCTTCGTCATTTTTTTCTGCGCGACTTTCTTCGACTTTGTGGGATTTGGTCCGATGTGGAAAATAATAATTTCACCAGAGGTGCAGGACTGCAGAAAGAACTGGTGGACCAATTTACTCTACATCAGCAACTACGTCAATGCTGACCACATGGTATGCCATCAAACCCAAAAATCCCCAGAACTCTTCCAACGTTGTTTTTTTTTCAGTGCATGGTTCACAGTTGGTATTTGTCCTGCGACTTTCACTACTTCATCCTGGCCCTCGCCCTAACAATCCTCATATACAAAATGAAGAGAACTGGACTGGCTTTATTGGGCTTGGTGTTTCTCGCATCGATTCTCATCCCGTTTATCATTGTCTTCATCTACCAACGGCCGGCAGTTTTATTTTTCTACCTGGATTTCATCCGAAGCCCCAAGTCGCATCCAGATTTTTTGCTCACGTATATTAAGTCGCATGCCAGAAGCACTCCTTATATTGTGGGGATTATTGCCGGATATATGTTTTACAGATTGAGGCAACATAAAGTCAGTGTTAATTGGGTAAGTCGAGTGTTTGAGTCCAAACAGCTGCTGGCTGTGGTGGTTTGGTAAGTTTTTCTATAGAATACCTGCGCGAGTTGAAGAGACGCATCAGGTTAAAACGGTGGTTGCAAGAGAATCAGAAAATGAGTTAAAGAGGGAGCATTTTTCCGCGTTCTTTCCTAGTCAAGGGCATGAGAACCGCGATTCTTCAAATCGAAAATTTTGCAGAAACCGACTGATTCACACAAATTCTACCAGGTTTTGTGTTTCTTCCGCAACCATCCTTATTCGAAGAATCTCTTTTGCATTGCATGATAACGCTGAACGCACATGCAATGCGTCAGACAATATAATGAGCCTGAAGTAACTGTTCAATGGTCAAATGTAACCAATGCAATAGCAGCAATCTTAGCACCCGGCCAGTATGAGATAAGGCAAAAAGAGAAAGTTGCAGTTATTCAATAATAGGTTATGTCAGACGCGCCAATATAGATGATTGTTCAGGTGTAAATAAATGTTATAAAGGCGCGTATAATAAAGCAACACCGAATGGGCAAATATTGCCAAATACCTCAAAGGATGGGTACCTGTTGATGATTAATTGTGCAATTCTTTTTCGATTTCAATGAGCATTCTTTGATTGCGAATGATCGACTAAAATTTAAGGGATTTTGAGAAGATTTTCATTTTTGCCACAAAATCGACCTCCACCCTTAGAAAAATTTCGGACGAAAATCTAAATTTCACATGCGTGTTTTTTTATCTCAATCGATTCTTTTCGACGTAAAAAGGTCACAAATATGCATTTATAAACTGTTTGAGTCAATAATAAGGAAGAAATCGTCGGCTAAAGATCGTGACCGATCAAAATGTGTCGAAAATCTCTATTATTTCGGATCTGAAACTTCTTTCGATGCATTCCTCGCGTCCGTGAGCTGAAAATGATGTGAAATTTAAGACATTTTGAGAAAATTTTCACTTTCATTCAATTTTTCAATTTGGATTCGTCCAAGGTACAAATCACACGGCCATGGTATCGGAAACATCACAGGAGCGGGTTCATAAACGGATGGGGGAACAACGGCCATTCAAATGACGTGTGTCAGGGCGTTCAAAAAGAAACGACCTTTAACAAGGACAGATAGACTTCCTTGTGTGATAGACAGAGCGACACAAAGTCATTTATGAACCCGCTCCAGCTCATGACCAAATGTTGACATTTACTGCCATTGCAGTGAAATGCTAATACCGGGGGGGTTTCAATAGTAAAACCAGAAACAGATTCTATTCCAAATCAAGCTGAAGCTCTATAAATGAAACTTTTCCTAAATGAAAATTTTCACTTACTAGTTCGCTTATACATTCGCGTCTAATATCGTTTTGAAGCGATTCCAATAACTGACTTGTAATACTCCTTCAGGTCCAAACAGTCCAGCAAAAAATTCGCCAGGTCATATTTGGAAACTTTTCTGGAAATGTACATGTCGTGAGCAACTATGTATCCTGTGGCCGGATCCGGTGAAATGTGCGGCGGGAAAACGGCAACATACTTCAAATCGGACACTTTTAGAGCATCGTACATTCGCCGATGTTCCTTCGTTAGATCCTTCAGCCGATCCGGCACCAAACCCGACTCGATGTCGAAGAACAGAAACGCGGAAAGACACACGGAAATAATTTCCACATTTTCCTCTTTCATGGCCGAGATAATGTTGCGAAGCCCATCGCTCAGAACGGTGGTGGGGCTGGGATCAGAACGCGTGCCTAAGGCCACAACAACAGCCTCAGTTCCTTTTACCCCATTTGAGACTGCACTATAATCTAAAACATCGCCTTTTACAATTTCCACGCGTTTCTGCAAAGGCTCTGGAAGCAGGGTGGGGTCTCGAACAAACGCTCTGATTTTAAGGCCGCGCTCTAAGGCTGCTGCAGTCACGCAAAGGCCAGTCACTCCAGTAGATCCGAAAATGATTATGTGTTTCACCATTATGAACTTTGACGCTGTTAATTTGACGGAAAAACGTGCACTTAATCGGTATGTTTTCCAAGTTCAACTGATAAGGCTCGGAGATTTCTGGTGGGATTCGTTTAATTTAGTTAAGCTTTTGAGGCGATCCCAATACAGCTCGATAGTATTCGGGCACATTCAAGCAATCGACCATAAAGTGGGCCAGGTCAAATTTTCTTCGACATGTACATTTCTTTTGTCCTTAACTACTGTACAGGGTTATTCACGCTATACGGCACGAACGTTTGCGGCTAGCCCCTTTGTTTTTTGCAAAGTATTATCTGATGATTCCACAGACGCCTATCGGGTGCACATTTTAAAAATATTTTTGTAATGTACAGAGTG